TACATTATACATTTTATTGAATGAAAGCAAAAAATGTCGTAGCATCAAATTTTAGAGTAAGTTTAGATTTGTTCGAATTGGTCACCTTTGGCACGAATAATGGCCATGCTGCCCGTCACATGCTGCCCGAATATTGCTCTGCGGTATTTTGGCCCATTTTCGGCGAAGCGCTTGCTTGAGGTGATCAACACTTTGGTATTTTTTAGTGCCAACCTGGCTTTCCCAAATCCTCCAGATACAATAGTCCAAAATATTGGTATCCGGATATTTTGTTGGCCATTGTGGGCTGGAAATGAAGCGAGGAACCTCATTTTGTAAATATTTTTGGGTGGTGCGTGTTGATTGCGATGGTGCTGAGTCCAGTTGGAATATCCAAGGTCTGCGGCCAAAATGTTTGTGTGCCCAAGGCTTTAATACACCCTCCAAAATATTTTCGCGATAATATTCGGCATTTATTCTGATTAATACGAGCGGAGAGCGACCATCGGCAGTCATGGCGGCCCACACCATAACCATGGCCGGCGCTTGAGTTCTGGTGGCCAATCGCGTATGCACATTTTCAGCTGACCTCTTTGGCAAGTAAACACGATCATTTTGTTTGTTTACAAACTGCTGGACAACGAATGTCTTCCCATTGGAGAATAGCAAATTCGGCAGTTCACCACTTTCAGTCAAGCGAAGCAACTCTTTAGCTCTTTTGAGTCTATTTTCTTCCTGTAGCGGTGTAAGTTTTTCCACTTTTTGGAATTTCAATGGATTTACCCCGATCTCATTTTTTAATATCTGCTGAATAGAATATTGCGATTGGTTCAGCTCACGAGTCATTTTTCGGGTACTGCGACGCGGCTTTCGATCAAATCGCTTCTTTGCTTTTCGAACCATTTCTGCTGGTGTTGCTGTTTTGTTCCGTCCACTTTTTTGACGTCAGGCTACGATACCAGTATCACGGTAACGAGCGATGGTACGAGACACAAAAGATTTATTCACATTTAAATGCTGGAGTGCTCTAACGATAGCCACTTGTGATTTTCCAGCCAAATATAAAGAAATCACACTAACACGCTTGAATTCCATCACGAATAAGTTTTTTCTGGAAAATTCTCACCAAAATACCTTTGCTTGTAAACAATATAATGGGCAGCAGTCTGAAGTTGGTTGCAGTTTTTTCATCGCACGCACAAAGTTTCGCCAACGGACCTAGAATCCATTATTAGAGAAATGTGGCAAAAATCATCAAATTATCGAATATCGGGAGATAACGATATATGGGGCTATGCAAAAACGTGGACCTATACCTACGATGTTTTGCCAACGGAGCTATAATCCATTATGACCAACAAATACCAATGTTTAAACAAATCCGTGAAAAAATGTGGCAAAAATCATCAAAATACCTAATATCGGGAGGTACCGTTATATGGGGACTATACCAAAACGTGGACCTATATATGAAATGTTTTGCCACACGTACAGGGATCCATTATGACCTACAAATACCTATTTTCAGACAAATCCGTAAAAAATGTGGCATAAATCATCAAAATACCGAATTTCGGGAGGTACCGTTATATGGGGACTATACCAGAACTATATGTTCAATACCAACCATCCTAGACACAATACCAATTGCTTTGCTAAATTGTGGCGCTTTACGTCAAATAATGTGGGCTCTATCGTGATTTCAACACACAGACAGACCGACAGACAGACGGACATCGTTAAATCGACTTAGAATTTTATGCTGATTATGAATATCTATGCGTTATGGAATTCACGACGAATATTTAGGGATGTTACCTTTCCAAGGTGGAGGGTATACAAATTTAATTTTGTTGCACAGTGTAATTATTATATTACTGGGACATTTTTATACCCTACACAACAAGGTGGTCAGGGTATTATGTCTTTGTGCATTTGTTTGTAACAGGCAAAAGGAAACGAGATAGACCCATAGTTACTTTACATAGATAGAATAGAATCACATTCTGAGTCGATTTATGCATGTCCGTCCGTCCGTCTGTCCGTGCGTCTGTCCATGTATTTTTGTAAACAAATTACAGTTCGCATTTATTGTCCTATCAAGATGAAATTTTGCACAAATCATTTGTTTGGCCCAAGGACGAACCCTATTGAAATTGGAGATAATCGGTCAAAATTTAGATATAGCTCCCATATATATCTTCGTCCGATTTGCCTTTTATTGTGCACCAAACGTGTAATATCAGTCCGAATAGTATGGAATTTTGCACGTACGATCAGATTGGACCTGAAAATGAGTATGACAAATTTGATCGAAATCGGTTCCGATATATCTATAGTTCCCATATATATTGTTCATCCGATTTGTTATTTTTGTCCTCCGCAGCCGTAATATGCACTCTGTAACAACAATATTTGGGGAAATATATCAAATACAGCTCAGAAATACCTTTGCTAAATTTTATCGAGATCGGTTCAGATTTGGATATAGCTCCCATATATAACTTCGTCTGATTTACTTTTGATTGTGCACCAAACGTCTAATATTTGCCCAAATTGGATGAAATTTGGTACATACGACCGAATTGAGTTTAGAAGCTAGTATGTCAAATTTGGTGAAGATCGGTTCAGATATAGCTATAACTCCCATATATACTGTTCATCCGATTTGTCATATTTGTTACCCACAGCCGTAATATGCACTCCGTAAAGGGTCTGTCAGATAGAATACGTTGTGTCCGTTGCGGCAACGTATTAGACTGACAGCCGATTTGGTTGCTTATATTTTAATGAAGAATGTCACATGCACAACGTGTAAGTTGCCGTAACGGATAAAAGTTGGTCTACTCTCAACTTTTGACATGCGGCAAGTCCGGCAGAGAAATCAGCTGTTATTATTAAATATTTTATGTTAGGTTTTTGAAATGGAATTTTTATTAATAGAAGCGGTGCAGATTCACCCTTGTCTTTTTGACAAAAAAAAACAGTGCTATATCGCAACAAAATTGCTAAGGAAAAAGCTTGGAGAGCTGTGGCAGCTTCCACAAACGCTACTGGTGAGTTATTTTCATAAATTGTATATTTAAGGTTGATATTGACAGGAGGTATTTTATATTATATTGCAGTCGAACAATGCCAAAGTCGTTGGAGGTCCCTTCGGGACAGATATGTAAAGGAGGTTAACGGAAGTAAGCTTCCGTCGGGAAGTGGTGCAAAAGAAGGTAGTGGATGGCGGTATATGGATGCGATGTCTTTTTTGCAACGACACGTCGCTCCTCGTAGGTAATTACAGAGCTCTGTGATATATATTTTGGGAGATTCCTAATCGTTTTTATATCCCAGAACTTCTTCAAATATGCAATGGTCGAGTGAGGATTCATTTTTAAGTACGCAGTTTGAGAGTGGCGACATATTTGGAAGTTCGCCGTTGTCGGGGGAAGACGAAACAAATGAAAATGTAGATTTCTTTTGCAGCGAGCTGCCACGTTCTTTTGAGCAATCCACACCACAAGTGGAAAAACGTTGCGATAAAAGAAAGAGACAAGAAGACAGGTTTGATCACCTTTGTGACTCTGTGTCTGACTGGATAAAAAAACAGGCAGCACAGAGTCAAAGTCCCCCACCAGTGTCTCGTAATGCTGATTTTTTAAGAGTACTAGACGAGTATTTGCTGAAGCACTCAGAGGACGAGCAAGATAGAATTAAAATCAAATTGTTCAACATTGTCTCAAATTTTAAACAATGAATGAATTTTAAACGATGTTCTTTCTTCTTGCTTTCTTATTTAATAAAATAAATTATTTTTGAGTTTTGCCTTGTTAAGGCGAAGATCATATGTTTTTATGATTTATGTGTTTGTTTTCTCTTTCGAGACGAGCTTAATGATCTGAAATTTGCAGTGAAAAGGAAAGCCAGATAGACACTATCACACACTCACCACTATGCGACGCGTTTCGCCGTTGGTTAAGCGGCTCATCAGGCATATTTGGTGTGGATGATGGCTTACAAGGGCCGTTCTCTGGAAAGTAGTATATATTTCGAACTTATTGCAAATTAGCATATGCGAATTATACACTAGAAACTCTCCAGGTTCGACTCAAGTTCTATTGGCAGATCTTTTTCACAGCAAAGTTTTGTTTTTGTAGTGATGGATTTTTTGTCCACAACAACTACATTGCTTCCAATGCATACACTTGTTTTAGTGCTGCTTTAGGAAGACGGGTTAATGGCTCTGAACGTAGAGACGGCAACTTCTAGTTGGCTGCACACCGAGGTCCGCGGTTCAAATCCCACAGCCAGGCTCGGCTGAATTTTTGAGTTTTGCCTTGTTAAGGCGAAGATCATATGTTTTTATGATTTATGTGTTTGTTTTCTCTTTCGAGACGAGCTTAATGATCTGAAATTTGCAGTGAAAAGGAAAGCCAGATAGACACTATCACACACTCACCACTATGCGACGCGTTTCGCCGTTGGTTAAGCGGCTCATCAGGCATATTTGGTGTGGATGATGGCTTACAAGGGCCGTTCTCTGGAAAGTAGTATATATTTCGAACTTATTGCAAATTAGCATATGCGAATTATACACTAGAAACTCTCCAGGTTCGACTCAAGTTCTATTGGCAGATCTTTTTCACAGCAAAGATTTTCTTTTTCACAGCACTAAAACAAGTGTATGCATTGGAAGCAATGTAGTTGTTGTGGACAAAAAATCCATCACTACAAAAACAAAACTTTGCTGTGAAAAAGATCTGCCAATAGAACTTGAGTCGAACCTGGAGAGTTTCTAGTGTATAATTCGCATATGCTAATTTGCAATAAGTTCGAAATATATACTACTTTCCAGAGAACGGCCCTTGTAAGCCATCATCCACACCAAATATGCCTGATGAGCCGCTTAACCAACGGCGAAACGCGTCGCATAGTGGTGAGTGTGTGATAGTGTCTATCTGGCTTTCCTTTTCACTGCAAATTTCAGATCATTAAGCTCGTCTCGAAAGAGAAAACAAACACATAAATTATTTTTAGTTTTTAGTATAATGAAATGATTTATTTTTTAGTATAATAAAATATGAAAAGAAATATTAAATGTTTGATACATGCTTTCATCAGTATTATTAAACAAATATGAAGTTACTGCCGGGAAAATTGCCGAATTGGATGTGAAACGACATAGCTCATGAGTTCATCCCTTAATTTGAATGCGCATTTTGCTGCATTATTTGAAGCTGTTCTCCTGGCTCTCTGCAAAGGGACAGGCACTTCTTTGCGCCACAGACCATTTATCAATACAGTGCCGTCGTCTCGGTCGACATATTCTGGCGGACAATAACTGTCATCATGCATTTTGAGGAAATTGTGAAGAAGTACCGTGGCTTTAATAACTTTCTCTGCGGATGCTGGGCTCATTTGTAGGGATGACAACAAAATCCTCCATCGGCTCGCCAAAATACCAAAAGCATTTTCTATTACCCTACGGGCCCGTGACAAACGTTTATTAAATATTTCCTTTTCAGGCGGCAAGTTACTTCCTTAAAAAATTTTTGTTACATAAAATCGAAGAGGAAAATATAAATTGCTCATGCAAACCTGGATAAGGTCTAATTAAAAATGGTTTTAATGGGAACGCGGCATCTGCAACGAAATAGTGTGGGAAACTTTTATCTGTACCGGGTAGTACTTCTTCTTTTGGTAGATCCAATTGGCCCTTATACAACTGTTGACCGAATCTTGAGTTCCACATAACTCCACCGTCACTTTGGGAACCAAACGCACCAATATCCACGGAAGTAAATGTGTAATTAGCATCACAAGCTGCCAGAAGGACAATGGAGTAGTTCCCTTTATAATTGTAAAACTGGGAGCCAGAGTTCGATGGGCAAGTTAAATTGATGTGCTTGCCATCAATGGCCCCAACACAATTGGGTAAATCCCACATTGTGTAAAAATCAATGGCGATTCGCTTCCACTCATTTTCCTTTGGGACTGATAAATATATTGGGCCAAGTATTTCCCAAAGCACTTCGCAGGTTTCTGATACTATTCCTTTCATAGTTGACACTCCCATTTTAAAGGCAGCAGAAAATATCTGCTTACTTCCGCCATGAGCTAAATATCTTAAATTTTATGGAAGTATTCAAGAATGTTATTCGGACACATACGATTAAATGTTACCAATATGTATAAGAACTTACGCAAGGTTCATAAAAAGTCGACATTCCGGTGAAATTGATGGCCTATTGGAGTGCTTCCTTAACCTCTCTTTTACGAAAGTCAGGAGGAGATCGAATGTGTTCTTCTCCATCCTTATGGTTTTCTGGAATTCGTCTGGGAAGCAAAATGTGGTGGCGAAAAATCCATGCGTGTCGCGATTCCGCAATAGTGGTCGCACCCAATATCTTCTACGCCCGTACAATTTTTTTAAGCATTCGCCGGCCTCGAACAGCATTAGGATTAATGATATAATGTTCATTAATTGTGAGGTTTCCATTTTCAAATAACAGAAAATGTTGTCTGTTTTCAAACTGAATTTTACCACCAATGCAAATCAGCTGTTTTCTTATGTACAACGACGGATTTGTTGTGGCGAGTCTATACTTTATGTACGTCACGTCAGTCCAATACGTTGCCGCAACGGACACAACGTATTCTATCTGACAGACCCTTAACAACGATATTCAGGGAAATATATGAAATACAGTTCAGAAATATCTTTGCCAAATTTTATCGAGATCGATTCAGATTTGGATATAGCTCCCATATATAACTTTATCTGATTTCAAATTAATTTTGCACCAAATGGGCAATACAAGTCCGAATTTAAAAGATACAAATGCTTCGGCATATTTAGTCCTTTGAACTTTAAATTTTAGTTATAACCATAGCGTGTATGATTGAATTCTCCCATAAAAACTTTTAATTGTTATGCGCAGCTCTACTAAATTAGCAAAGTGGTGTAGGGTATCATAAAGTCGGCGCCGCCCGACTTTAAGACTTTCTTTACTGGTTATACCCTACAAAAATTACAAATATACCTCCATTTTCTGGCGAAGGATATAAAAATAACAAATGTAAATTTACCTTTATATGTATTTAACAATTTGTCAACTCCATTTTGGTACACCCTGTAAAAACATGTTATTATTTCGTTTTAATAAAATCACTGAACATTCCATAGCAATTCGATTTTTTTTTGGAGGGGATTTTTCGGTTAATCTCATATATAGCACATGTTTGAATACCTTCAAATAAAATATTCCTGTTTTATTTCAAATTCTAACCAAAAAACGTGTTATATAACGAAAATATAAATTTATACATATTCGAATGATCTAACAACCTGTTTCAGAGAAAAAAATAAAACGATATTTTATGACACAAAACTGAATAACTTAACAAACGTATGAACTTAACTAAACTAATTGCAAAGTGCATAACTAATTGCAAATCTTAATTACAGAAATAAATAAAATAATGAATAGCGAGAGAGAGAGAGAAAAAAAAAACAAAACAAATGTAGAAAATTCAGCTCAGTTTAATTAAGATAAGGCAGTCATATGTAATACATACACATGTGAAATATATACAAAAACAAAAATTGTGGATGAGAAAAGACACAAACCAAAAAAAAACATTCTCAAATTATATTAGTCAACAACTTGAAGGATAACGCTGAATGTGTACAACAAGCCTCTATGTTCAGGGAAGCGTCACCACGCTGCCAACGCATTTGGCCTTAGCTGATATAAAAGACAAACATGTCGAGCCTCCACCTAAAACGGAGAGGTGGGCTGTGTAAATGGTACGAGTAAATGTTTCGTGGTCTAGGTAAAAAATCCAAATGAGAGACCTGAATTAAAAAAATAACACAGCACAACAAAAAAACAATCTCATAACTTATTTAAATTAATGTGGCACACAACAATCACGACAACACCACCAGCCAGCCAGCCACTAACAGCTAACCGTAGTAAATTGTGTCGTGTATAATACATGAAGTATTTTGAGGTATGAAATATGGAGTATTCGTATGTTCCTTTAAAGTAATGTCTGTGTGTGGATATTGTTGGAAATCCCTCAAGAATAGCCCCCACCCGTCCCTTTCGCACAAGTATGTTATCCCTGTTTGATATAAAATATATTTTAGTTAGCAGATATGGAGTCTTTTGGTGAATATATTTTTTGGTATGCCAATAAAGATGAAGGTGAATGAGATTTATTTCAATAGGCTTCAAGATTCTTCAGAATGGCCTTAGATATCAATTATTATGAGCTTGAATCAATTTTAGGAATTGTGAACTGTGAAAGGTTTGTGAACAACTTTGTAAAGCCTTTTATGGTTTATCTATTGAGCATGATTTTCATATCCTAATGTATGATAAAGCTATCAAAATTCTCTACCATTAATCTCCACAGAAAACCAAGTCAGAGGCAGAGTTTTAGCTGAAAATTCCTGTAGAATAGGAAGTTATGGAATTAACAAGTAAAAACTAGTAAGGAAAGGTCAAAAGTCGGGCGGGCCGACTATAAGATACCCCACCCCTCTATGCGAATTTAGAAGAGGGTATTTATATGAAGTGGATCATACCAAATATAACCCAAATAACATTGGTGTATAGTACATGATATGACTTCAATAAGGATGATATTAAAAAAGTAAAAAAATAATGGGGGTATACAAAAATGTGGACCTGTACATGCAATGTTTCGCCACCCACTATGATCAACAAATACCAATTTTTAGACAAACCCACGATAAAATGTGGCAAAAATCATCAAAATACTGAACATCGAAATGACCCACAAATACCAATTTTTAGAATAAACCGCCCAAAAATGTGGCAAAAATCATAAAAACACCGAATATTTGGAGGTACCAAAACGTGGACCTATACAAGCAATGTTTCGCCACACGAGCTAGGACCCATTATGACCTACAAATATCAATTTTTGGACAAATCCGTGGAAAAATGTGGCAAAAATCAACAAAAACCGAATATCGAAAGGTACCGTCATATGGGGACTATACCAAGACGTGGAGCGATATATCTCATTTTCAATACGAACCATCCTAGGCACAATACAAATTGTTCTGCTAAATGTTGAGGTTTTACGTCAAATAATTTGGGCTGTATCGTAATGTCAATCAACATATAGACGGACATCGTTAAATCGACTTAGAATTTTACGCTGATTATGAGTACATACTTTATGGGTTCTACGATGAATATTTAGGGATGTTACAAACGGAATGACAAAGTTAATCTACCTTCCTTCCCAAGGTGGAGGGTATAAAAATAACTAAAATCGGGGGAGAGAAAACTCTCAGCTCACAACTGTCAAATTTCTATGACATAAAGCACCCTTGTACGATACTTTTGCATAGCAATTTTACTGGATGTTGTCGTTTTATCCAAAAGTTGAAAAAAAGGAGAGATAAGAAAGGGAACTATTTGGGTCAACGAAATTTTTAGAATATTGATCAACATTTACGATTTCCACCCATGATGTCTTGAAAATATTCCTTTAAAACTTTTTTAAGTCTAAAAGAAAACCACCATTTCTTATTATAGGTTCCTAAACATTTTTAATAAAAAAATAACGTTTTTTTGGTCAGAAGAGCTTCAATAAATTTTCTTAAAAAATCTACTACTTTCCCCGACATCCAGACCAAATGCCACGCATTAAAAAAAAAAAATACATTAAATCCGGAATATTTGGAATTTCGTGCTTTAAGGGTACGAAAAGTAGTAACATAGAGCGTTTGGTGATACAGAAAGTTGACTATAGGGAAATTCGTACTTTTTAGTTTTCGAAGAGTACTAAAATTTACACAAGAGTACAATATAGTTAATATAAGAGCCAGAAGTGTGAAATTTTGCATAGGAGACACTTTTGGAGAGCATGATAAAGTTTTTTAGCCTACGTTTTTTGGATACGTTGTTATTCGATATAAGGATATATCTGATAATGGATTCCATGAAAGATAGATGCAGGAATGTATATTTTGATATGAGAGTCAATGTTGGCGCATAGGATGGATATGAAAAAAAAATTTTAAATTTTGAGATTAAAATGCATCTAAAGATTCTTTGAACATTATTTTGTTCGACTGATTTTGTGGAAGATGTAAGATTATTATCTTTCTGACTACTTGAAAATGTGAGTCGTTTTGAATTCAAACTTTTTGGTACTGGAAAGAGAAAGATAAAGGACCAAAGTATACAAATTATGTTTTCCGATACTATTTTAACGTAAGAATCGGAATTTTGGTTACTAAAGGTGGAAAGTAAATTTTGGTAGATACTTAAAAATATGTTCCCTTTTTTTTAAGAAATTGCGGGGACTTTTTATTTTTTATTCCCTTTTTTATACCCTACACCACATTGTAGTGAGGGTATTATGTCTTTGTGCATTTGTTTGTAACGTGGAGAAGGAAGTGAGATGGACCCATAGTTACTTTTGAGGATCTTCATAGAATCATTTTCTGAGTCGATTTATGCATGTCAGCCCGTCCCTTTTTTGCAGTTTGCATTTATTATCCGATTGTGATGATATTTTCCAAACAATATTTGTTTGGCCCAAGGACGAAATTGGTGAGAATCGTTTCAATTTTGTATATAGCTCCCATATATATCTTCAACCGATTTCGGGTTAATTGTACACCAAATGACCAATATCAGTCCAAATTACCTGAATTTTGGCACATCCAAGCGAATTCAGTCTAGAAGCAAATACATCAATTTTAGAAAATCGGTTCAGATATAGCTATAGCTCTCATATATATGTTTCATTCGATTTGGAGTTTTAATATAAGCAGTCCAAGAGAGTGATATTTAGTAGCAGATATCTCATGGGGCTCCAAAATGCCCCTTGATAAACGTTATTAAAATCGGGTCAGATTAGGATATTGCTCCCATATATTTATCGTTATCCGATATCAGTTTTATGGCTCACCAACTGACCAATATCAGTCTAAATGGACTGAATTTTGACTTATCTAGAACAAGTAATTTAAATTTGGTAAATATCGGTTCAGATATAGCACCCATATATATGTCTCTTCCGATTTGGTGTTAAAGTCCCTCACATGCGTAATTTGGACTCCACTAGGATGATATTTGGTACCAGATAACTTACAGTGCTCAAAAATACCTTTTATCGACATCGGTTCGACTGAATTTATCCTAGAAACAAGCACTTCAAATTTGATGGAAATCGGTTCAGATATAGCTATAGCTTCCATATATACGTATGTTTCATCCGACTTAGTGTTGAAGGCCCTCACATGGGTAATATTTACTCTACAATAATGATATGTGATAGCAAGCATCAGATACTGCTCGAAAATACCTTTGCCAAATTTTATGAAGATCGGTTCAGATTTTTATATAGCTTCGATATACATCCTCATCCGATTGGAAAGATTTTTTTCATATTCAACCGAATTTTTCCATTTGCTGAAACTCGGTCCGGTATATCTATTGCTCCAATAAATAATTTTTAATATAATCCTTGACGTAGTCATATCATGGACTATAAAGCAATCGCAAAGCAAACTACTTAATTCTAAGTAACACTAAATTTGGTATTGGGTCAAGAAATAAGGCTGGAATTCCGAAATTTGTTATTTAGCTCTCTGTGGTTAAGATATGGAGGTGTTTTTTTGGAAATGC